TCCCTTTCCTTTCTCACGTTTCCTCTATCCGTCCATATCGTCTTTCCGCTTTCCACTGTCGCTCCACCGCACCGGTTATACCTCTCTTTTTATTTTTTTTTGTAGAATTTAAGTATTTGGCGGGTGCACGACCGAGTGGATGATGTATAATGTACGTCGGACAAATTGTGTGGGACAATTTTATTTGTTATAATTTGTTTTCATAGGTTTTTCTGCTTATTCCAAAAACTTCTGATTTTAATTCGATAAGTTTTATATTACAGCAGACTATACTATTATACAAGTTAAGGTAATCAAATTTTTTGATAAATTAACAGTAATCTAAAGATATGTATACGTTATGTATTACTCTCGAGAAATAATAAATAGAAAATGATAAAAATTCTGACACATTTACACTCTTAATTTGTTTTTGAATTTGTTTTTGAAATACGTTGCGTCTTATTTATCCGACGTACTTTGTATGATTATGATTCACTTGAGAATAATGATAAATTAATTAGAATCATATACATTATATAACATATGTATATAAGATATTAGAAGATGTTACTTCTACAAAGCAGGAAAAAGAAATTCATTCGAATTACAATTTTACGTGAAATTAAAAATGATCAATAATGTAGCGAGATTAATGATCCAATATAGACAGGCGTAAAATGAAATAAAGACGTCGAAAAGGAAGATGAAGATGCTCTGAAACGGTCTTGCACGTGCCAATAGAGTTCAGAGATTATCAATTTGCTCACAATACAATGAGAGAGAAAGTATCTATTTTTAATTTATACCCTGACGCAATTCCACTTGAGAAGCTGTTTAATTTCAGTGATATATATAATGTTCATATTTGCAGTCTCATATATTGCACGATTGCTCACTCATCTTTCAATTTTAATAAGATATTAGATGATGTTAAATTCGCACATCAATTTGCACTCTTGTCTAAAAGTCTTTGGATGTTTTGAATTGTGCTTTTGTAGACACAGTTGTATGTTTGATTATCCATATAAAACTATATAAAATTAGATATAATGCATTTAAAAAATTGCACTAAGTTTGAATGTAATCTCTCTGTTTGATTATATACATACACACACGTTTTAGTTATATATACAATCGATATTCATTTATATTCAATGTACCTTTCTGTATTTTGTCCCAAGACTTTCGGACGGCAATGTGTGCCAAGTAGGCCACGCAAATATATGTGAACAAGACGAAGAGATGGAATTGCGTGAAGGCGCTACGCCAAGAACGTTCACTATAGTTAATAATTCTGTTAGTATAAACCAATGATCAGTCCGTTGGGCGTAACACGTGGTTCAGTTTAAGACGAAATAGGTTCCCCGGCGCGGCAATGCATTCCTCCCAATTGGTCATGTCGCTTATAGAAACTGATCGTCACTAAGCCGAACTACGTAGCTTTTCTTGTGACAATCAAAGCACACCGCGTAGGCACTACCATCTGAACAGAAAATATGGAAAAGGCTATGTACAGCGAAAAGGCTACTGAGCAAGCGCGAGTAATGTCGCCGATTGTACTGTAATTGTACTGTGTTAATTGCGAAGGTCTAAAGTAATTGAGAGTAGACAAATCAGCCGCTCGATCGAGTATAATGTGATGTGACGTGTACAAGTGTAACGCCGATTTTGAATGTGTGACGAAAAAGATGTTGCCGTTTTAAGCTTACAAGAGCAAGCACTATTCGCACACCACCTATAAAACTTTCTAAAGCGTTTCTTAAGCTTTTTTCCTCCAATGTTGGGCGACGTTATTAGCATTAGAATATCTGAATTATTATTTAATACTTGGTCTTTTCTTATAATAATGTAAACACGATTTTATAAAAAATTGATTTAATAAAAGAATTAATTTAATAAAGTATTTTATCTTACATTTAAATTATACTTAAATTTGTTATTAAAATAACAATGGAGTTTTGGTATAAAAATTTGTATATGTATAATCAGAAACCAGCATCTTATCCACTAAAATAAATCATGTATAAAATGATAATTCAAATATTCTATAACGTATAAATATTCAAAATATTGGATTATTGTTATCAAATGCTTTAGCTTCAAGCTTTTTGCATGTTTTCAGATTAATCGATTAGTAAAAATTTCACAATATTAAACAAAGCGTAATGAGAATATTTAACATTTGTTGATGAAACAGAAAGTGATAGCTAAGGGTTAGAGCTAAGAATGATAGAGATCGTAAGGATTGCATTTAAATTATGCATTTTGCGCAAAGATGGTGAGTGGTGATGCGCGAAAACGGCATGGCAAAAATGTCTACGGAGTAGATACCCGAAGACGAATACCTTTTTTTTGCCGCCGATATCGATGTAATCTATGCAAGTGGCGATAATCAGGTGGTTCATCTCCCGAATCGCTACCCGCCGAACCGCTACTCGATGTCGCCGAAGAACTTTCACTGCTTGCTAACATCACGTCTAAGAGATTTGCTCTGGCCTAAGTGAAAGTAAAGCGATCAGTATTGCATTCATTTTCACGAGATTAGAAATAAAACATAATGAAGTAAAATGATTTACATGACATCTTGTATTTGTGAAAAATTGTTGTATTCAAGTAAACAAGCGATTAATTCTTATATCCGCAATGAAATAGTCAAGCATTTTATCTGCGAGCATTATTCTATTATTTATCTAAGTTACTTAAAATTTCTATAGTTTAGTCTTACTGAAAGCTCACCTTGGGGTCGGTGAAGTCAATATCACGTTCAACGTGAACCCATCCTGTCGGACAGCAGCAAGCAAGATCCAATTTCTCAAGCGGTACCTGCGATTCGTTGTTAACGATGTTAACAGCGGTAGTATCTTCACCCTTCCGAATCATGCGATTCAATTCATCTATAACGTCCTTGGATGTGGCGCGTTCATGGAAGCTCAATGTTCGATCTCTGCCCTCCACGAGAAGCGTTGCTCGTGCCGGACTAACCTGTATGAAGATTATGCAATCATTATTATAACAAAGTGTTTTGCTTAGAAATTAGATTAAAAATTTTTATAAAATTATAATATATATAAAATAAAATTAATTTCTCTTTCTAGCGTTAACACATTAATTAATACTATTAGTAACTGTTATTGTTTTATATTAGGTGTTGGAATTAATTCGTAGCGTTTTACAAGAGATGGCACAAGCAGTACACTATTTCGTTGTTACCTATAGTTCTGTATACATTGTAAACATCTATCATAGGACGTCATTTGCCGTACATAACCTTTCTTGAAATCATAAATAACAATACTGTATAATTCATTGAATATGTCAACATTTGTGCCAGATAAAGTGTTTTTGCGGGGAGTTTTGCTTCATTACTTTAATATGAACAAAAGTGCAGCTGAAGCTCATCGTATTTTAGTGGATGTGTATAGTGAACATGCTCTGGTTGAGCAAACGTGTAGGAAGTGGTTTGCCCGTTTTAAAGCTGGTGATTTCGACTTGGATGACAAGGAGCGACCTGGTCAGCCGAAAAAATTTGAAGATAACGATTTGCAGGCACTGCTCAATGAAAACTCATGTCAAACACTTAAAGAATTATCTACGTCATTGGAAGTTGACTTCTCAACAATAGGAAAACGTCTTAAAAGTTTGGGCATGATCCAGAAGGAAGGACATTGGGTCCCATATGAATTGACACCAAGGTATATTGAGAGACGTTTTCTCACGTGCGAACTGCTGCTTCAACGGCAGAAAAGAAAAGGTTTTTTGCATCGGATTGTTACCGGTGACGAAAAGTGGATCCATTATGACAATCCAAAGCGCAGAAAGTCATGGGTTAAGCCCGGCGAACCATCAACATCAGTGGCAAAGTCCAATATCCATGGCTCAAAGCTCCTGCTCTGTATTTGGTGGGATCAGAAGGGTGTCATATACTACGAACTGCTAAAACCGCATGAAACCGTTACTGGAGATCTCTACCGACGGCAACTGATGCGCTTGAGCCGTGCCTTGAAGCAAAAACGGTCGGAATACTTCGAAAGACACGATAAAGTCATCTTGCTGCACGACAATGCTCGCCCACACGTTGCAAAACCGGTAAAAACATACCTGGAAACACTTAAATGGGAAGTGCTACCGCATCCGCCGTATTCTCCTGATATTGCACCTAGCGACTACCACTTGTTTCGATCATTAGCTCATAGCTTGTGCGAGCAGAAGTTCACATCTTACGAAGATTGTACAAAATGGTTCGATTCCTGGATTTCATCTAAAGATGAACAGTTCTTCCGACGCGGTATTCATTCACTGCCCGAAAGATGGTCAAAAGTAGTAGAAAGTGATGGGAAGTACTTTCATTAATGTATTTTTTAATGCTCATGTGAAATAAATAACATTCTTTCATTAAAAAAACGCTACGAATTAATTCCAACACCTAATATTAACATTATTATATATTATTATAAGTGAGAGAATGTTTATATTATATTATTATATTGATAATCTCAATGTTAAGCGAAACAAATAATACCTCTCAATAAAATTTCTTGAAATAAAGAAATTATTTCTTAAAAATAAAAATGATTTCTTCAGGAAGAAAAAGGGAAATTGAATAAGTGTCGTTTTTCTTTTTTTTTATGCAAATTTAAGTAGTATTTGAAAGCAAACTTACAACTGTACTAGGCGTAGAGGAAGTTGCCTCTTCGTCCTCTTCGGGAACAGCTCCCAATTCCGATGGAGCTACCGTTGTATATGCAATACCGCCATTACACGACACAGCACTTACAATCCTCTCCTCGAGTGCCAACGGTGGTACCTGTATCTGATCGAGTAGCTCATCGTTGCTACTCATTTCATTCGCGTTTCCGATACTACGCTCTTGAACGGACGAACTTTCTAGCTTCGCTATCTTTGTCTCTCCCGTAGAATCATTTTTGTTAGGGACCAATTCTATAAGCGGTGAGATTTAAAACACATTTTTAATATCTTTTCTATTATTTTAAATTCCATTCTTTCATTACTATATTTAAAAAATTTCTTGATAATTATTTAGATTAAGAGACATCCCGCCATTGACCTTGACCTTGATGTATGTCGCCTGAGTAACCTCCGAGATATTTTAGATGGCGGGCGACCTTTGTTAAGTTTTAAAAATAACGTTTTATTTCTACTACATTTTTTTCAGGAATATTCAGAAATATTCGAAAAGTTTAATGATATATAATAACCTAATTAATAACATATAATAACCTATGATATATAATAACCATGGTATATGGTTGGGTTAGGTTTAGGTTATTATATACCCATGGGTACATTTTTATAGTTGGCGGTCGTCCTTTGTTAAAAAGTTATTAATAAAAAAAAGTTTTTAAAAATAACAAAAGAATAATTAAAGTTGAGGGCTCTTGAGATAAAAACTAAACAATCAATGAAAAAATGGGCAATTAAGAGCCTAGATTTGTAGTAATTGGAGCAATTATATCAACATATATTTCTCAATATTACATATATATAACAAATACCGAACGTTTCGGCTTAATTCAAGCCATCTTTAGCAATCTAGTATAATAAAATCTCTTGATAAATAATTCGAGACATTTTGCTAGTCTCGTAATACAAGTTCCTTAATACAATTCAAGCAGTAATACAATTCTTAAATCAAAGTAATCGAGTGCAGCAAGGGAATCTTCCAGATTACCAAATCTGAAGTATGTCACCTTCATTTAGCTGTTAGGCTAAGTGCGAGTTAAAAATAAAAAATAAAAAATAATATATATATAAGAAGGACAGTTACCATAAAGAAAGATCACCAATTTATTATGGAAACTTACCTATTGCACTTCATAATTGCACAATAAAATACCATAAATTAAATCACGATCGGCAAAAAGAATATCACAATGCCAAACATCTTTAGCGACATATTCAGTGTCAAAGCAGAGTCACGTATGTAAATTAACATGAAAGATTAAATATTGCAAGTACGTAAACAACAATGTCAAAAAAATAAATGTCGTTGAATAAAGAAAATACATAGATAGAAAACTGAATATAGTCAAATGATCCAAAAACGAGTAAAATCTATTTATTATGTTCGTATAAGCACGGTGCAAGAATTCTGTGCCTGCTTTCAAATTTAATCTCTCTTGCATTTTAATATTGAGCATCTCTGACATCAATCTTTTACCAAAATATCACTTTTTATCTAAAATTTTTGTGTTATTCCAATCAAATTCATAGTCAAATTCTAATCTATGTTCTGAAATAACAGATAAATTACCACTTTTTTTATTAATATCATTTTTGTGTTCATTAATTCTGTCCAACATAGAAAGCATTACAATTTTTATAATTAATCTTGTATACAACATTTTTCTTAGAATCGTGTGGTAAAACGTCTTTCTGAGCTTTGATGATTCCGTCAAGTTTATTTAAACTAAAGAAAGATAATCTGACATTAAGATTCTTGGTAATGTTCCTAAATTTCATAAATATTCAGTAAAAAAGATATAGTAAACCAACTCTTGCGAAAAAATATCTTCAATTTTAGCGTTAAACTCTCAAAAAGAACACTCACATTTGGATGTTAAACACTTGAAAAAAAAATGCTCAAATTTGGGTGTAATTTCGGACCGTCAAAGGTTATACCTAATTAAAGGTTAACGTCCAAAGAAAACTATCAAAATAAATGGCTTTATTATAATATATAAAATTAATTAAATTTGTTTTATTCCTAAAATAATGTTATTAATTTGCAACATATTTTCCGAAATACACACGACAAAATTATAATTAAAAAAACGCGCTCTTATTTGAGAATTAATTTTCTTATTTTTCTAAGCAGTCACCCATTCAATATCATACTCCATCCAACAGTGCTTGACCACTGCAATCGTATGGGAACTGCTGCTTCGGTGATCCAAGAACACTGAATGTTATCATGTAACTGTGATATATCTTAATAGGACTTCAACATCTTTAGGACTGCGTGAAACATCTTTTTGACAAACTTTATTTAGGCTGAGTTTGGAAAATCATCTGGATATGTTTTATATTCATCATTGTTTTACATTGGACAACAAGGATAAAACGATACATGGGGACACTCAAATGATGTTTCCGAACGCAGGCTAGATAAAGTTTGTCAAAATGATGTTTCATGCATATAGTATTAGAATATATTTCTTTCATAAATGAATCTGGCGCATCTATTGGGTCATTTAAAAAGTATCCGCGGTTTTTTCATTTAAAAATTGAACAAAAAACCGCGGATACTTTTTAAATGACCTAATATATTCAACATTTTAGCATTAATTCTCAATCATAAAGATTAACATTCAAGTGACACTTACATTCAATTTTGAAAATGACACTCAAAGGTTATTAAGCCGTTTAAGATTTATACTCATCTATTGAGTGTCATGAGTAAAACCGCGATTGGGTATTACCATCAAATTCCGTATATATTATGATATACACTAAACTATTCACCGAATTTAATGGTCACACCCAATGACACTCAATATTGATGCTCAACGCTTAAGTGACACCCAATGTTGACGGTCAACACTCAACTTTGATGTTAAACACCTAAATTTGAGTATTAACACAATAAATTGAGGGTTTTTTTTCGTGAGAGAAGAGATTTTTTTATCTTCAGTCTCCTTATTGTTAAATTTATCTACTTGTTTTAACATTTTGCATTTTAACAGAAATCTTAATCTTAAATTAATAGTGTCAAAGATAAATTTGATAGGATAATCATTGTTCAAAAACGTCTTAATAATAAAATTGAAATTTTTCATATGATATCTCGGATGAGAAAGTAAAAAGACTCTGTCAACCATGCTTATTGTAAAAGATTGGTGTCAGAGATGCTCAATATTAAAATGCAAGAGAATGGATTAAATTTGAAAGCAGACACAGAATTCTTGCACCGTGCTTATACGAACATAATAAATAGATTTTACTCGTTTTTGGATCATTTGACTATATTCAGTTTTCTATCTATGTATTTTCTTTATTCAACGACATTTATTTTTTTGACATTGTTGTTTACGTACTTGCAATATTTAATCTTTCATGTTAATTTACATACGTGACTCTGCTTTGACACTGAATATGTCGCTAAAGATGTTTGGCATTGTGATATTCTTTTTGCCGATCGTGATTTAATTTATGGTATTTTATTGTGCAATTATGGAGTGCAATAGGTAAGTTTCCATAATAAATTGGTGATCTTTCTTTATGGTAACTGTCCTTCTTATATATATATTATTTTTTATTTTTTATTTTTAACTCGCACTTAGCCTAACAGCTAAATGAAGGTGACATACTTCAGATTTGGTAATCTGGAAGATTCCCTTGCTGCACTCGATTACTTTGATTTACAACTACTTGAATTGTATTAAGGAAGTTGTATTCGAGGCTACCTAAATTTATTAAGAGATTTTATTATACTAGACTGCTGAAGATGGCTTGAATTAAGCCAAAACGTTTGGTATTTGTTATATATATGTAGTATTAAGAAATATATGTTGATATAATCGCTCCAATTACTGCGAATCTAGGCTCTTAATTGCCCGTTTTTTCATTGATTGTTTAGTTTAAAAATAACGTTTGATTTCTATTGATTTCATTTCAGTCGAATTATACGATTTCATTTTTCAGAAATTCTCAGAAGTATTTGGAAAGTTTAATGGCATATAATACAACTATATAACACGAATATTCCTTGCTTTAAAATATTAGTTTGCTATTCATGTATGTAGGGGGGTGAGAGTTGAAGATGAGAGTCCTGCAGTTTGGAAGGTAGATGAGAGTCGCTTCGGCTGAAAGTTGTGCATCCTTTGCAGGGAGTTGAGGTAAATAATATCTTTCACCTTAGACTCTCACCTCCCTCTCTCCTTGCGAAGGGGCGCATAACTTTTATTTTCAACTTTCATCCCCCCCCCCTGCAGAGGGGTGCACGACTTTCACATTCGACTCTTACCCCCCTCCCCCCTACATAGGGGCGCACAACTTTCACCTGAAGGGACTCTCACCGTCCCTCCCCCCTGCAAAGGAGTGCACGAGTGTCACCCTCGACTCTGATCACCCTCCTACAGTGCATGAATAGTAAACATATTTTAAAGCAGAGAATTTTCGTGTTATATAATTGAATTTTTTTTATTAATAACTTTTTAACGAAGGACAATCGCCATCTAAAACCTGTTGGAGGTCTCTCATGGCCATGACAACATATATCAAAATCAAGATTATCGGCGAGGTGTCTCTTAATCTGAATAAGTACCATTTCTTTTAATTAATTGATTTTATTATTTTTTTTCCTGTATTTTATGATTATAATAACAATAACTTGATTGAAAAATAGACAGTATGAAACGTTCTGTTTAATTAACGAATACAATTGAGTATCACCTTCGGTCGAGTGAGACACGTTCTGCGGTTCCACGGGATTATTTGGTAACTCTGCGAGGTACATCTGTTGTTCGGCGATGAAAGACAGAACACTCTGAAGCGCTTGTTCCCTATCCGGTGGTGGTCTACCACTTCTGGAGGACGTGCTCGCCAAGCTCTTGGTACTCTCGAACTTTACTAGCCGGTAAAAGTCTCTGGTGAAGTCAGTGCCGATTGACGGAGTGTCAGGATCGTCGCTGCAGCCAGAGAGTGCCGCCGATGAACGCTTACTCGAGTTCTCCAGGGCACCCTCCTCGCTACTCCAGGACGCACCGGGACTTGAGGCATACGGCCAAGGTCCGTTTGTCCTCGCGTCCATTAAAAGCGCAACCTAAGAAATAAATGATAATTTGCTGCAAGATAGTACAAAATAATACTTTAATATGATTTTTATATTACGTCGCCTGAAAAAGACGTTGTTTCTTTAAATATACCCATTATTGCGAAGAGTATTACTAAGGTCTGGTAATATAAAGCTTAGGACATTCGTACAGAATATAAGAGATCCGATTTTGACTCCCGGCAATAAATATTTTACAATAAATTTACAGTTTTTTACATTAACATCCTTTTAATATGACGTCTAATTGAGCATCAAATTATTAAAAAAATTGCCAATTGTTAATTTAATTCGTAATATTATTACAGTAGTTTAATTGCGTACTCGCATGACTATTATAAATAAAATTAATTTCATGGTTATGCGATTAAATTGAATCAAATTTAATTAATATATAGATACACAGGGAATGAAAAGTTACTTTTTAAAGGTAATAAGTTACAGTTACTCATTATCGAGTAGAAAAAGTAACAAATTACCATTACTAATTATTTTTAAAAGTAACTTGTTAAAGTTACCGGTACTTGAGAGAAAGTTAATTTTCATTATTTTTCCGTTACTTTTTTTAAAGTCGACGATCACCAATCACACTGGTGACTGTCCCACGTAGACGAGTGCCTAGAGGATTTTAGTCTCAAGAGAGCGCTATGAGTAACTTATGTCTAATCTATGAATTAAAAAGAAGACCAAACTCAAGCGGCCGATCACGAAAAAGTTGAGCTCGATTTCTGGCTTCGGAAAAGCACTGTGGAAGAATAAATTCGAGCTCCTCTGTCGAAGAAAATTGCCAATTTACAATTAGAGGATTTGATAAATATTTTTCTTTCCATTTTCTTGTAATTCTATAAATTTGTGTATTTTCATGCGTAGAATATATTCTGAGAAGGAAAACTGTCGCTCAAGTCCCATTTTATTTTTTTTATTTCGAAGTTTTTTGAAGTCCGGTAAGTTAAAAAAAAAGTTCGGTTTATGACTGTGTGCATAAATGTATTTGTCAATAAATATTGATGCATTTATTATTTAATCAGATAAAATGAAATTTTATACAAACATGTATTCCATATGCGTTATCGTATACATGTGATATATACAGGGTTGGCCATATTCGACGGAAAGATGTTTTTTTTTTCAATCATGGGACGTCGTTACTCAATCTAACATCTCTGTCAAAAGTTACAGTGTTTGCCAGATCTTTCCGTCGAATATGGCCAACCCTGTACTTCCAACTTTTCCAGCAACCGCATTGTCCCGATTTTTCGAAGCCGTGTTTCGAGCCTACGTATTCATAGTCAGACCGATATTCATAGTTAGGGGGTCGATTATTGCATAAAGCCAATAAAGGTAACTCATATAAATTTTTTATCGTCGAAAATGGATCCGTAAATGAAATTACTCTATCACGTCACATTTTTGAGATATTTAATTCAGCTCAAAGATACCAAAAAATATCATTCCTGGTACCTTTAGGTTCAATTTTCTCAAAAACCTAACGTGATGGAGCAATTTTACTTATGGATTCGTTTTCAGTGACAAAAATTTATAAGAATTACTTGGTCCGGTTTGTGATCTAAAATCCGTGTTATTAAGTGTCCTGAAATACTTAAAAATTTTTTAGAAAACTTTAGAAATTAAAATAATTAAAAAACAATTAAGCAAATTTCAAATTCGGATATTAGATGATTATAAATTGCTATTGTAATATAAAGTTTAAATTCTTTAAGAATTAACTCTTTTTACAAATTTAAAACTACTTTCATAATACGCCCGCATTTGAATTAATCAGGCTACAATAGATTCGACTCTTCGTAACGATATTTTTATTCAAATAATTAAATGAACGTTGTAGAAGCCGATCGATATTGTATAACACTCGACAGACATACCAGCTCTCCTCCGGTCCTATCGGCAAGATAGCTCGCACCGTTCCACAGACATTCGTTCGCGTCCTCCTCCAATTCCAGAAGATTATGTTCCTTGATTGCTGGTAGGGCAGGTGTATTTGTAGCTGGTTGCTCCTTCCACATTGCGGATTCATTTTGTACGAGGTCTTCCGTGGACAGGGAGAAACTCCAATCCTCCAACTCCGCTCTGTCGTATTCCAATTCGAGCAGATCTCGATGTTGTTGCGTGCTTCTACTGTCATCGAGCCTGAAACCCGTGCGGTGATCAATTCATATTTTCATGTTTCAGTTATATCGATAATCTATTATCCGGCTTTAGAGAAAATACGGTTGTTCTTCCGTTGTTTCATAAAATGTTTAATTGCAAAACCGTAATGCAAATTAAACAAATACATAAAGCTTCATTATATTGTAATTTGCGTATGTAATATATTTAAAATGTTTTTTCGAATATAAATTCCAATATTTGTAATATACGGAATCTAATTTTTAATAATCTAATCTTTTAATATTATAAAACTCGATAATATTTTAATTCTGTGGAAATAACAATAGTTTATTAGCATTTTTCTTTAATAAACCTGATAAAAGAAGCTAACATTAATTAAAAGGAAGAGACATTAGAGTTTCTAGTGTTACACTCACATATTCCATTTTTACGTTTCCCCAATCAAGTTTTCATAATTCAGCGATTATGCACTCTCAGAAATATATACATATAGCAAACAAACCTAAGCCATTGCTGCACATATTCGGCGTCCCAGCCTTCCTCCTCCACCAGCAAGAGAGAAGATGAGCCTATGGGGCTAGGCAATTTATATGGTGTAAAATTGGCGGTAGTAGTGAGCTTGAGACAGAGATGACTGTCGGAGAAGCTACGCATTACATGTTGATAGGGTAACAGATCTTTAGTCGGCGGATAGCTGTGGCGCGGATTGATGCCCACGGTGAGATTCAGAGGTAGAAAGAGGACGTCTGGATCGCTGGCGTCGAGGGCGACAAGACGAGCATCCGGCGACACATCAGCTTCGGTCTCGTCGGTGGCCTCCTTCAGATCTTCGAGGCCGCGCACAGATGGTTCCTGACGCGTACCTTCACCTTGAACGTCACTCGACATGGTCGAGTAGCCCTCGTCGCGATTACCGCTTTCTGGGCTTTCGCTGCCTTCTTCCTCCGACGGTTTTTGCGCTGCAAATGATTTAATCAAATAACTCCGAGAAGAGTAGACGCATTACAGTTTTATCTTACCATTTTTTACTATCATATGTTGCTGTTAGAGAGCCTCAAAAGGAGAGAGTGGCAGACTGCATCATGATTCGTCTCCTCTGATTGGACGCGGGCATCAAAGCTCCATAAGCATGGAAGAGATTGGAGAAGACTGGTCATGTGATCTTCGTCTTGATTGGACGCGATTATTCACATGATGCAATTTGTCACTTTCTCTCTTTGAAGCTTTCTAGTTGCTGTATAACAGGATTTTTCAATCACCGTGGCATACGGATGTGTCGCAAAGGATCTCCAGTGTATCGCAAAATTTTAGGAAAAATAAAAAGAAGTGAAAAAGATTACAAATAAATAAAAAAACCAAGTAAGACATTAAAATATTTAAAAAAATACTTTAAAAAATACTTTAAAAAATACTTTAAAAAATTATCTAAATTATAATACATATGTACATTCTTATTTTAATTAAATCACGACATCTTTCTCATTATTATAATAAAATCACTTTTAAAACAATAAAGTAAAAACTTTAGAATTTATAGTTATTTTTTAATGTCGTATTGGCGATATTTGAGCTATGCTGATTGCTAAAGCACCTCAGAATAATTTTTTTTCGACAAATTTGATTCGCTATTTAAAGTGCCGCAAATCAAAAAGTGTTGAAAAATGCTGATGTATGCACATGTGTGTGATCAAGTAAATAATAGAATAAAAATATCTTAAGAACGGAAAAAATTTTTCGAGATTTCTACACTGAGAAAAACTTTTGGTTAAAGATAAATGAATCAGAAAATTTTGATTTGTCTATTTTCAATCAGAATTTCAATTAATGTAATCAGATACTTTTTCTAGCATCTTATAATTACGTTTGATTCTATAGCAAATGTGTTAAATCGTGATAAAAGATAATTAGTACCAAGAGGTCTACTACGTCGGCACTTAGTGGTTGCCATCACGGGTATTTGCAAATTGAGGGAACGCGGTCTTGAGAGAGGTATCCAGGAAGGGTCCAGACCCAAAGCGGCAACCAGGGCGGCTGGACCAGCCTCGAGAATTCCTTGGATAAGTTCAGTAGGGCTTTCAGGACTGGCAGCCTGCGCCAAGAGTCCTGACAATGCTCGATTTTGAGCCTCAAGCTCTCGTATACGTCTCTGCAATGCACCTATTTCCTCCCTAAGACCCTGAGAACAATTTGATGGTCATCAGTATTCTTACTCAATATGTGTCGTTTAAAAAGCGCATTAGCGAGTGGAAAGAAACTTGTTAACAGCAGATTTAATCCTTTCAAAAAATAATTCTAAGTAAAACTTAAAAATTGATATTAGATATTAACAATCCTAGAAAAATAATAGCTAAGTATTTTCTAGACTTATATGAATTGCATACCATTTGTACAATCTATTAAATTTTATTTTTTTTTATTGTACACTGAAAGAAAAGATTGGCTGCTGCAGCAAATTAGATGGCAAAATATGGTACAGCATTTTTAATTAGTTGCAGCAGCCAATTTTTGCTGCAATCAAAAATGTTATGCCATATTCAATCAATCTTTTCTTTCAGTATAAACTTAAGAAGAATAAATAATGTATTAGCGAAAATATAAAATGTTATCATATATAAGTTTTGAAAAGATTATTATGTTCGAATTAAACATTATTATTTTTCTAAGCGTGAAAAATCCTGATTATTATACAGTGCTGAAAATCTCTGCCTTCAAACGTTACATTTATCTACATATGTAATAATTTGAGTAATCTAAATAAATCGTAGTAAAAAAAGAGATAAAATTTTATTGAAATGAAATTCGTATAAAATTAAACAAAGTGTGTAAGAATCTTTCGTATACAAGATGTACTTGGCGCGAGACACTATCGTGTCTCTTGATCGTATGTTTTCAACATCGTTCTCAAAAAGAAATATCTCTCCAAAGCTACACTTGAAGAAATTTCTCTTCTAAAATTTTCCAAATAATAAAAGTTTATACACAAATTCTTCAGCATTTTATGTACATAATAGCATTCACAGAGCGCACATCTTCATCGCAACGGACACGAGCTATTCGAAGAGGATGAAAAGAGACAAAATGAGAAATAGAGAAAAGGAAAGGTAACGAGAGCATAGCAATGAACCTTTTGGGATAGGAGAGCGCGGACCACCTGGTTGGCGACGTCATCCAAGCACCGCTCATACTGTCGACGCTGGGCATCAGCGTCTCTTGCTAAGGCTGCGTGCTCCGTTTCAAGGGTTGCCAAACGTGCCACCAGCGCGGCGTGCACTTCACCGGCGCATGCTGCCTCCAGGCCGCGTAGTTGACCACGCATCGACTCATTCTCCAGTTGCAGTTTTGATATCTGCGCCTGATACTGGTGTACGCGCGCCTGCAAACAGACGTGTGAAAATTATTTCTAGCATATTCTGTTGAAGGAAAAGTTCTGAAGTATTTTGTTAACTCAAAGGGTATCACTAAATTTTTTGTCAAGCGCTCTGTAGATTACATAATCATAACGCTGTGTAGATAGAATAGGCTAAACTGAGTCGAAAAGTCTTGTACCATTTTGCAATTTTCACAGTTAATAAGATATTAATTACTAAAAATCACTGAATATTGGTCTTCTATAATTTTTTACTCAAATACTATCAACTTTACAGAAAAATAGTAAGAGACAAAATTTATTTATTTTTTTCTCATAAAATTCTGAGAATTTTTTTAGAATTTTTTAATACCTTATTTTCTCATGTTAATAAAAATAATTGTCAATAAGAAAATGCGGTACTAAAAAGTTGACAAAAAATTCTAAAAAAATTCTTAAAATTTTATGAAAAAAAATGAACAATTTTTGTCTCTTGCAGTTTTTTTGTAAAGTTCATATATTTAAGAAAAAAATTATTGAAGACCAATATTCGGTAATTTTTAGTAATTAACATCTTGTTACCTATTGTGAAAATTGCAAAATGGTAGAGGATTTTTGGACTTAGTTTAGTCAGCTCTATTTGCACAAGAGCGCTTGGAAAAAATTTTCGGGACACCCTGTAGGATAACTCCGGCAAATACGCCGCGGTGGGATTCACGCCGCAGAAGTAAAAAAAAAATAGAAGGAATGGAGGTAATTTTCCCGCAATTACTCTGTTACATGCCTTTATGTTATATTAGTATTGTGTTATGATTTCAGTTTCTGACTGTTAATATTAATGAAATTATTGTAAGTTGAATCAATTTGTCAATGTAATAAGTAACGCCATCATAAATTATAATCTACATAAAATGATTAATGTAGGGCGTGCAGAAGACTTAGTGGTTATTTCATGGTACATACGCATAGTGGAATAGTAAAGTATATTGTGTAACAAAATACAAGTGCTTTGCTTTCGTATTCTTTGTTAGATTGTTGTCTTGTATATCCCACCTGTTTGGGACATTTTTAGCAAGCGGGATTTATGCGCATATTGTATACTATCCAAAGCATACAAAGTGCGCAGATTGCATTCAGTGTATTAAATGCAATAAACACATTATATAAAATATGTACCTTGTCATAACATTTGTAATATATGTAGGAAGATTGTAATTATTATTTATTACTTCATATACATATTTACCTTATTCCTTAACAAAATTTTACAAAACATATTTTATAAGTTATTGTGCCATTATATGTTTTATTTATAAGCATTATTTGTAAATTTTTTATGAACTGAATATCCTCCTTCCCACTCCCTATGAGTAGCCATATATCCATCCCTATGGGATAAACGATAAAAATGCAAGAGTTTCAAAAAGTTTATTTTTTAATATGAAAAATAGATATTTCGGATTTCTAATATTTTTTTCATAGTAATAGACAGTACAAAGTTTTTACTAATAGTTCGTTTACTATAAACATAGTAAATAATACTTAATAAATTAAGTTTTTGATAGGTGCGGCATATATACCGGAGTTACCCTATATCAATATACACAATATTTTCGTCAAAAATGAACAATATTTAAATTGAAAAAAAAAGGTTTTAAAGCTCATAAAACCTATACTTTTAAAAGGTTGTTATAATTTTTTAATTCATGTGAATTTGATAATTTTTACGTATTTGGAGACACTGGTAGTGTTTCGACGCTAAACATGATGTGAGACTCTGACGTGCTTTCTTTACACGAGCCTAGAAAACTAAGAGTTAAAATAAAATCTTTCTTCTCATTGTATGGGTTTGTCACATACATAAAAAAAAAATTTGCGAATATTTTCGATTGTCCATCGTGAAAATTCGAAATTTCCTTTACAAAATCGTTTTTTATGTTCCTACAATTTTTTTGTCTTTGGAGTTATTTGCGAGTTAAGTAAAAATATATCATAATGACTTTGATTGCTCATAACTCCTGAAACTCGTACTGCAATTAAAAAAGAATCTTAAAGCTAAAACGTTCTTTTAACGAGTTTAATTGCCAATTTAAAAAAAAATAGAATATGTATATATGTGTATATATATATATATATATATATATATGAGTTAAAAATATGACATTACTTTTCTTTTAATTGCATAATAATTATAAGGACAGTATAATGTCATATTTTTGGCTCAAATTTATATACATTCTACATTAAAAAAATTAGCAGTTATATCATTCGCTAGAGCAAAGTTTCAGTTTTAAAAATCTGATTGTGGTATGATAATTTGTAATGAAATTATGAGCAATCAAATCAATGTTTTTTTATTTAACTCACGTGTAACTCGGTAACAAAAAATCATGGGAAAATTTTGTAAAAATGAATTTGTAGGAAAAACTTTAAGCTTTCACATCAGATAGTCGAAAATTTCGCAATGAACATATTCTGTATATAATTTTGAACTAACAAAATACCGCAAAAATTTTCCTTCAATATCATAGATAGCTTCTAAACTATATGATGTATAAAAACGAAGAATAGAATTCAGGACGTTGATGATGTTTTATGAACATTATTACATGACGATAAGCATCGTAACCTGAAATAAAGATATAGGAATCATGGTCGAGTCTAAAAATTAACATCTTTATTAGTATATCTTCAATTACGATAGGCTGCAATGATGCAGATAATTAATATTGTGTATAATAATTATTTGTATCTATAATATCCAAGATTGGATAAGTTAGCTTTTTTTTAACTAAGTTAAGTTAAAGTTAACAGTTTTAAAAATTTAACTTACTTTAGTTAAGATAAAAGTTAATCCATAGTGGCAATATGAATTAAAAGTTCAATTAATGAAAAAAGTAATTAAAAAGTTAAAAGTTAAATTTGTTTTATTTCATCATTTCAAGTTAACTTCTTTTTACGCTTTAAAAAACTAAATTTAAAAAACTAAGTTAAAAACTTTTTTAACTAACAAGGAAAGACTCACTATATATTTCATGAATTTTGGTTAGCTTTTGCGTGATTATTCTGGGATATCAAAAAATAATCCTTGCAAAGCAAGTAACTTGCACTTCTGCGTATTTTTCGAGGAAATCGTGATTTTAGATCATGACGACGGATTGCTTTCAAACCTCTTTATTCTTTGTTTAAAAATAAAGGAAATATTTGAATTTATTTAAAATTAGAAAAATATATCTTCAACGACCATAAATGTATAAGCATATAATCCGAGTAGAGACACTAATTATTTAACCCTATTTTTACAGCATAAAGTTGCACAAAAGTTGCAGCAATACTGCTGCAACATTGCAGCAATATTGCAGAGATTTTGCAGCGATGTTGCTATAGTATTGCTGCAACTTTTGTGCAACTTTGTGCTGTAAGGGTGATGTTAACTTTTACAAAATTAAATTAATAAAATATATTAGGTGTTGGAATTAATTCGTAGCGTTTTTTAATGAAAGAATGTTATTTATTTCACATGAGCATTAAAAAATACATTAATGAAAGTACTTCCCATCACTTGTAAAACGCTACGAATTAATTCCAACACCTAATAACTATGTAAAGTTAAAAAGTTAAGAGTCTAAATGAAGTTAAAATTAATTAACTTTTTAACTTAACTTTTAGCTTTTTAATTTAGCATTACCCAACCTTGATTAATATACAATACATGTATATATGTTTCCTTAATGCAAAAAATCTCTCTCTCTCTCTCTCTCTCTCTTTTTTGCAGATTTAAAAATATAAAATAATTATAAAGCAAGACATTTTGTCAAACTCGACCAAAGAAATAACTATATCACAATTATACAATAAAATATAATTTTAAGAACCTATAAATTTTCGGAATTACATTACAAATATATATATATATTACGAGAGTTTATTATTTTCTTAAAAAATATCTAAATTATCCAAGGTAAAAACTTTAATTTGTAAAATATTTACAGATTATCTGATAAAACGTAAGATAAATTATTATATGCTCAGCGAACTCTTTCCTGTATATTCGGCTATTTAAAGCATATTGGCGATTATAATCTCGATCTTGATTCAGTGTGAAAATAAAAAATTGCAGGCCAACGAAGGCCAGGAGCGCTCCATAAATATCTCGTGTTATAGTATGCACTAAAGCTCAATTCCCGGCGATCATTAAAATTAAGCGCTAATGGATTGTTTCGATTCTATCAAGAGTGATTCATATTGCCCCTTGCGGTTTCTAGATGTTATATTGTGCCTGCGTTTAACTTGGTCACTGTAAAAAGAAAATCGACCGCGGAGATTTAAATATCCCAGGCACAGCAGCACGAATATTTCCGCAATTATCTTGATGGTCTTATTATAGAACCTTAAAATACTTGAAACATCTGACGATCTTTTTATTTCTGCTTTCAAATGAAAACAATTACGCCGTGGTACTTGTGATGATTGCCATTTGCCTCTTAAATACTCGCGAAGCTGAAGGTAGAAAATACTTCGGTCACAGTGACGAATTATTATTATTATTGTTGTTATGTAAACATACGAGGATCTCATATGTGCGTTCGGAAATTCAAAATTTATTAAAATTATGTTTTACGCCTGTTAAAAATCCTCTAATTATAAGTTAAGTAATTTTTCTGAAAAGATATGCGTAAATGTAAAAAATATTTTCTTTTACAAAAAAGTTACGCACAGCTTTAGACAAAAGAATCATTATCTCGGAAAAGATGACAGAACACAAAATGTCATGTTATTTTGATTTTTTTCATCTATATGAGAGTTTCTACGCGTTCACATAGAAAAATATCTTTTTAATATTAAGAAATGTGATTATTCAATTTACTTTCTTTTGTTTAAGTAACACCTTTAACAAAGAATATTTTCTTGACAATAATCTCAAAATACTTATTCCAAATTTTAGAAAAACTCATTACTCAAAATAAGAATTTATTTTCTTTTGAAAAATATTATAAACTTGATCGAAGAAGTGACTTTATAAGCAA